TAATTACTAAATATCTTAAAAAAACAAATAATAAAATCCGTTTGAAGTTCCCATATTTTCTATTTCTCAAAATGAGTTTTTTATTGATTCTATTAAAGACTATTATGAAAAAAACTATAAAGAAGGAATTGATAAAATTGTGAGATTAAAAAATTATGAATTAATCAAAGATAAAATCGAAAAAATTGAAAAAAAAAGAAAGCAAATAGATTCGGTTTAAAATGAACTTTCTTAAAAAAATAATAACTCGCAAAAAAGTTTTGAAAACAGTTTAAACCAGCCAATAATTGAAACAAGTTTAGAAAACGAATCGGAATATGATAGTTAAGACTAAATAGTCTAAATAAATGAAGACAATAATTTAAAAGCAAATACTTTATAAGAATTGAATTTTAAATTTTTACTTTAAAAATATAATCAAGAAAAAATTCCTTATAAGAAAATCTAATTAGGGATACTTTAATAAAGTTAATCAATACCTATTTTATAAAAACTTATTGAAAATTAAGAAAAAATACATTATTTTTCTAATAATAATCGTATGTTTAGAGCTTTAGTTAGTGAAATTGGACCTATCCACAAAATTAATAGAAATTCTATTTCTAAATTTGAAATTTATTTAACTGATTAATTAAATCCTTCTAAAGTACTTCTTTTGGCTAAAAAAATGGATTTATTATAATAAAAAGAAATTTTTTGGGTGCCTTACTTATATTGTCTTTTTTTAATTAGATATTAAAATAAGGAAAATTTAAAAAATGAGAATTATTTAGATTATTTTTTGTTTTCTAGGAATGATTACGATGAATATTTTATGCTTTTGGCCTAATTTAATCTTATTAAGTCTAAATTTTTAGAGCTTTATGGATAAAATCATTTAAACTTTTAGATGTTACAATATTTAAATTGGTTCTAATTTTGTAAAAATGATTAAATTTATTTTTTTAATTTTGTGTAGATGCAATAAAAATAAGATAATTATATTAATAACTAAAAAATAATTTAAGACAATATTGACAAATATGTTAATTCTTAAAAATTTATTATGGCTGATATTGTTTATTAAATAAGCGAGTTTTTATTTAAATGAAAAAAAAAAAAATTATTAAGTTAAAAAAACTAAATTTAAATATATATATATATATAATATCAATATCGATATCTATTTTATAAATATATTATGAAAAATAAATAATTCATAAAAAGCTTATTATTTTATAAGTTCTGTATAAAAGTTAATAAACATAAACTTATTTTCATATTAAATATAATAAATTTTGATAATATTAAAATACTCAATTTTTAAAAAAAACTTATAAATAGTAATAAGTAATAATAATGAACAATGAATAAAATTAAAAAAAATACTATAAATTATTAAACAAATATAATTTTATTTTTTTATAAATTAAAAATTATATCATAATGCAATTAGTATATGAATTAGTTATAATTAAAACATAATATAGAACAAGTAATCTTTTAAATAAGAATTAAAATATTTTTAATTTAATTTATTCTTTAAATAATTTAACAAATTAGTTATATATTTTAAAAAATTTAATGAAAGTAGAAAAATTCTTTTAGAATACAGTATTTTCATTTATAATAATAAATTTTAATATTTAATATAAAATTTAATCAGAAAGATATAAAACATATATAAACTAAGAAGATTCTTATTAAATATATTTTTTTGTATTTGTTGTATTCAAACAAAAATTTGTTTTCTCTTTAAATTACTATTTATAAACAAAAATTAGACTAATAAATTAGTAAATTACTAATCAAATAATCTTTAATATTAAACTGCATGTAAAAATAATTATATTATTAAATTTATTAAAAATAGCCTATTAAATTTAATTAAACTTTATAAAAATCTATTTTATGTTTTTTTTATATGAAATATGTTAACAATATGATTTATGTATATTACAAAGACGTTTATAAAAAGTGAGGAATTTCTTAAACTTCAAGAACAAAAAATATATATAATTGAACTTTTAATAGAACTTCTATTTAGAAATAAGCAAAAAATATTAAAATAATATTTCATCATAAATTTAAATTAAAAAACATAAAAAAATGCTTTTAATTAATTACATTGTTTTTAGAATTAATAATTAGGATTTTAAAAGCTAGCAAACAAGTAATAAAGTTTAAGAATTTATTATATATATCAACAGATAATAATTTAACAATAAAAATGAAAGATTTTTATGAACTTTTTAGAATCTATTATCTGATACTTTGCTTAAAAAGCCTAACATTTTAAAGTTGATAAATAAAAAAATATTGAAATCGAATTATATTATTCATATTTTTATTTTTTCTCTGATTTTTTATAAAGGCTCAATCAAAAAAAAACCATTAATAATTTCTTCTTGCTTTTTTTTTGTTGATTGAGTTTTTAAAAGATAATTAGATAAAAAATAAATATGAAAACAAACAATAAATTATATTGATTAAGTTTTAGGTAATTAAAATAATATGTCAGCTAATTTTAAAAAATCATTACTATTTTATAATAATTAATATATATTATATAATAAATAATATGAAAGTATGAGAACATTAGATTATAATGAAAATATGAAAATAAAGCATTCTAATCAAACTTTAATTAATAAAATATTTTTGTTAAAGTAAAATTCATCTTTTTAAATAAAAAAAAAAGAATAAATTTAGTGATGGATGAGATTATAGTAAATTTAAAATTGGAATACCCTCTACAAAAAAAAAAATATTAAATTATTTAATCTTTAAATGTCTAATTAATCTTTTCCAGAATAAAAAAAATTCAATTTTTTTTTAATAAAAAACTAATTTTTTTTTTATACTTCTAAATAAAAAAAGATTAAAAATAGCTCCCCCTTCTTAATCAAATTTTTTTAATTTTTAAGAGAAATCGAAAAGAAACCTGATTTTATAATATTCTAAAATACTAATAAATAGAATCGATAGAATATATTTTATAATCAAATTATTAAAAAAAATAGCAATATTGAAATCTAATTTTTTAAAAATGAGAATTTATAGAGATAAAATAAAATTCTTTTTTTAAAAAATTAATTTATATTATCTTTGTTTCTTTATAGTTAATATTTTTTTAGAAAATATGCATTACTTTAATATAATTATAGCTTACATAAAATCTACTTTTAATCGAAAAAATATTTTAACATAATACATTTAAAATTAGAAGAAAAAAAAGCAGCGACTAATATATATTATAATAATTAATTAAAAATAATTTATAATATATCACTTTTTATAAGTATAATTCAAATTATTATATTTATTATTTAATATTTTTTATTTTTATTCTTTTTTTTTTTTAAAAAAAAGAAGAAGAATAGTTCTTCATAAAAAATATAATTATAATAACATCAAATTTTTTTTTTTTTTCATTTTTATCTAAGAAAATCAATAAAATTGCTATTTGGGAAATGTTTCTTAATATTTAAAGCTTCTTCTTCCATTTCTTTTTAAAATTATTCTTCTGCTTATAATGTTTCTTCATCCTAAGGATAGTAAAGTTAATTTTCTTCATTCACTAAAGTTGGTACAAGTCTGAAAATCGATAAAAACCCATTTTTTTCCCCAAATTCTTAATTATTTGCTGGTCTGTTAATCTTAATTTAATATTTTAAAGGTAATCCATTGTTAATTTCTTTAACTTTATTGGAAATATAATAAGGGTCTTTTTATAACTATTAATTAACTTATTCTTTACCTATTTAATATATTTAATCAACTAAATACTAATCTAAAAATTTAGAAAGATCTCTTTTTAATGAATTTTCACCAAATCCTTCAATAAGTTGTATTTTTTAATCTAATGATAAGTCTTAAACAAAATACTGAGCAGCATTATCCAATTTATCCCATAGTGCATTAGAACCTTACTAGTTAACTCCAAAATGATTAACTAATTGAACATACTATTCTTGGTTTAAGTTATTAAAGTGTTATAAAATCTAATTTTCTGCCTATTACCATTAAATTAATTCAGTTTTTACAGTGAATGCTAATATATCTTTTACTAATTTTTACATATTTTTTTTATTATTATGAATGCGTAAATATATATAATTATTTTTATTTATTTTAAAAATACTTATTTTTTTTCCTTTTTATTAAACATTAATTTTTTTATTTCATAAAAAAATAAATTATATATATATATATATATATATATATATATATATATATATATATATATATATATATATATATATATATATATATATTTATAGATAAGTAATTATCCTCCTTTATATATATCATGCTATCTTTTTTAAAAAAATTAAAAAAAAAAGAATCTATAATTATTATAATAAGTTGAAAGTATAATAATAATAAAATGCATACTTTTATATAAAATAATTTTAAAAAATTATAAAATAAATTAAAAAAAATAAACTTAGTTATATAAAATTTTGTAATTATCATTATTAATTTATTTAATAATATAATCTTATCTTAATATGAAAAAAATATTATTGTAATTTAGGAATTCTAATGATATAAATTTTAACTATTGTTTTTCTCAATTTTTTTTGTTTAGTCCTTAAAAAAATGTTGTAAATATTGTAACATAATGAAAACAATAAAATTTTGGGAAATTAAATTTAATTGTTTTAATTTAAAAAAAATTAAAAACACCACTTAAATTTTAGTCTTAGAATTTATAAACCACAGAAATTAATAAATTAAAATTATAAAAAAAGTATTATCGAGTATATAAAATTAAAATTTGTAAAATGATTGAATTACGTGCCAAATATTCAATTATTTTACTTATATTTAATCAAAAATTTACAATATATATTTATTTAATATAAATATAAAAAGCAGAATTTGATAAAGATAGACTCTTAAACTTTAAAAAAAAAAAAAAAAAAAATATAAGTTAAATATTTATTATTAATTATATTTATTAAATTTTATTGTTTTTAAGATATTTATTTATTATAAAAGCTTTATTTATTGATATATAAAACTTTATTTTTCAAAAAAAGTTTTTTAATCCTTAACTAACAACATTAGAACCTGCATTTTAAATAGTTTTTTAAATATTATCTTAAACCTAAAAATAAACAATTATTATTTTTTATTTAAAAAAAAGAAAAGTAATAATATTAGATTTATAAATATATGGTTAATACATATTTAATTATATATAATACATATAATTCAAAATGTTTATAATTACCTCATCTATTTTTTTTTAGAAGTCTCCTACTGTATTGGATACTTCATGGAACTTCTATTTTATATCATTAGTAGTTTTAATTACATCTTCTAAATTTGTTTTAAGCATGTCTTAAGCACCCTTTGTTTCCTGTATTTTTATAATTAATTTATGATTTTTTATAGAAAAAATAAATTAAATTTAAAATACTATATTATATATTAATTATTAAAAAATAGAGTTAATATTTTACTTCCATTATTATTTTTAATTATTTTATAGCTTGTTTCATTTCTTCCATATCTTTTTATTAATTTTGAATTTTTCCGCAGACTTCTCCCATTTTTATAACTTTTTTATGTTTTTTATTATTTTATATATTTAAAACTAAATACATAATAAAATTATAATTAAAATAGTAATCATAAAAAAGCTAAAATAAAAAAATTAATAATAAAACTAAATATATACAGACAAAAAAAAAATGAAGCATAAAATACTTTCTAAATAGAACAAAAAAGTAAGGCAATTAATGCGTCGTTTTAAAGAAGAAAGTAATAGCGACGAAGAAAATAATAAATAGTAAAAGTAGGAAAAGTTAAATCGTGATACATCAGATATAAATAACGATAGTTTTATACATCCAAAAACTCTTAATAATTCTGAAAATGAAGAAAAATTATAATAAAAAAATACAGTTTCCACAATATTTTATAAAATTCTTAATCAAGAAAATAAATCATCTAATTAAGAAAATCCTATATTTGTAGAATTCAAAAAACCTTTGAAAAAAGTGCGATAAGAATTGAAAAAATAAAGAGAAATTCTAATTAAAAAAAATATTAAAGAATTAAAAGCGAAAAGAGGTCATGTTTTGCCTTAAAATAGTTCTGATGGATTAGTATATGAAAAGGAGCTAAAAATTTAGGCTTGTAAAGGTATTATAAAAATATTAGATGCAATCAAAAATTATCAATAATAATCATAAGAAGAATATGATTTAGCATGATTTTTTAAATATTTATAAAAATATATTTATATATATTTTTTATTATAAAATATTTTGCTTTATATGGCAATTTTTAGAATATTAATTTATATGTATATGTATTTGAATTACAGTTTTGCTTATAACATATAATAGTACTTTTTTTTTTTAATTATTTTAGTTATTATATTATCTTTTTAAATAATTGTATTTTAACTTTTTCTATTTAAGAATTGTATTTTAACTTTTTCTATTTTAAGCAATAAGAACTTAATGAATATATATCTTTTCACATAAATAAATTTTAATCATAATTATTAAACATATTAATTAATTCAATAAATAATAAAAAAAGACGATAAAAAACGGATAAGATTCTTTTTTTATTGATTTTTTAATAAAAAATAATGAATAAATTTGAAATTATTACATCTTTTAATTTAATTAATTTTTTATTTTTAATATAATATTTATTATATATTAACTTTAATTGGAAATTATTTATATGAAGCATATTTTACCTTTTCAAATTTTCTTAGTCAAAATTAAATTAATTTTTATAAATTTCTAAGCTAATGATTAATTTAAGCAGCGTAATTTAATTATTTTTATATTAAATATCTATCTCTAGTTTATTCTTGAGTACTTGTATCTTCTTTTTTTTAAAGAACATTTTAAAAATAAAAATAAAAAGTAAATATGTATAACATTTTGTGTAAATAGATTTTATTATTATTTAAAGTTTTAATAAAATGCTATTTATTTAATTATTATTTTTTATAAAAAAAATACATTTAGTTAAAATTTCTATTTTGTTGAATTATATTAATATTTCCTCTTAATTTTTAATTTTCTTTCTTTAATTTACTTTTTTAAAATTTTATCAATAAAAATAAGATGAAAATAAATATAAAATGCAAATGGTATTTTTTTTTGATTCAATTTAAAAACAAAATTATACAAGAAATAAATAAATAATATTTAATTAAAGTTAATAAATATATTTTTATAAGTATCTTACATGCTAAAAACTTTGTAATCTCTAGATTTATTAAATAAACTAATTATTAATGAGGATTTTCTATTTAAATTTTATTATCTTATTATTAAAATGCCATATATATTTTACTATTAATTTATGTTAGAATATTTAATAATAAAAGCTTATTAATTTATTATTTAATATTATTAATTACAAAATTACTATATTATTATAATAATCAAAATTATATAAACTTAAAATATATTTACTAATATTTAATTATTTTTTTAGATAAATAAAAATAAAAATATAAATTAATATTAATTTTATTTCATTCTCTTGCATCATTATATCTTTATATTTGAATATGTACATTTAATAATATTCAATCAATAAATTTCATATTTTTAATAATTTTATAAATACATTTGCTTATTGATTATTTTAATTAATAGCTTTTAAGTTGATTTATAGTTAATTCAATAGCCATAACTTAAACTAATATTAATTAAAGTATATATTATAAATGAGAAATATTTCTTACATATATGCAATATATGCTAAACTAACTTATTTATTTTCATTGCATTATATTTATTATTTTATAATCAATATCTAAATGTTAAGTAAATTATACAAATACTAAAATAAAATTTTATAATATTTTAAATTCTAATTAATCTTGCAAAAAAATCATAAATTTTTTTATGCAATTCGATATCTTATATAAGATTATAACTTATTGTATAAAATGAAATTACATTTTATTTAAAAAAATGTGTAAATTATAAATATTGTATTTATAAAGATAAATAAATTTGTAAATTTATTTAAATATTTATTTTACAAAAATTTTTATAAATTTAATATAATAAAAATAAATATAAAAAAAAAATTAAATTTAAACTTAAAATTTCATAAAATTTAATAAAAATATATATATAATATAAAAAAAAAAAATTTTAATTTTAAAAAATAAATAAAAAATATAAATAAAATATAATAAATTGTATGTTTAAAAAAAAAAAAATTAGATTAGATTAGATTAGATTAGATATTTTTTTTAAGATATATTATATAAATAATATATTATTTATTAATATAATAATATTAAATTTAAATTAAATATATAAATATATATAATATAAAAATAAATTAAATATAAATATTCTTTTATAAATTATATTAATAATTAAAATAAATAATGATATAAAAAAATAAATATATATATAAAAAACTAAAATAATATTGATAAATATATTAAAATTATTAATTTATTAAATATAAATATTAAAAATAAAAATATATATCTAAAAAAAAAAAATATTTTGTAAGATAATAATTTATAAAAAAAAAATTTAAAAATTTAATAATTCTAAAATATATTATTTATTAATTTTTTATTTATTTATTTATTTATTTATTTATTTATTTATTTAATTATTTATTTATTTATTTATTTATTTATTTTTTTATATAAATATTTTAAAATGAATATATGTATTAATCATTAAAATTTTGTTTAATAATTTATATGTTTAGATATATAATGTTAGCTTGAAAACCATTTATTGTGTGAAAAATGTTTGTACGATAATAACTAACATACATTACATTAAAAAAATATTTTTTAAATTTAAGACTTATTCAATATTAATCAATTAATTAATAGTCTAGGTAAATCATAGTAAAAATCACAAATATATTAAATTGAAGATTTTTTTTAAAGTCTAATCAATTAACATACAACGAAATTAATTCAAATATAAGAGAAACTAATATAAATTATTATTAATTAAGAAATATTAAATATATAATCTGATTTTAATTATAATGAATTTATTAATAGTTTAAATTCTTTTTAGTTAGGATTTAAAAAATAAGATGAATTTAATATTCAAATTAACAAATTCTTAGATAGTTTTTCTCAAATAAAATAAAAATTAATTAACTTTTAAGATTATAAATGGGTTTCTATATTAAATTAGACAAATATTGAATATTCAGAATTATTAGCAAGGATAGAAGATTAAATTTTAAACACAAACTAATCTTCAATTAAATCTGATTTTAAAATGAGAGAATCTATACAACCAAAAAAGTTAGATAACTAATAAATTGAATTAAAAAAAAATGTTTCTTTAAATATTGATAATCCAATTTATTTAAACTCTTAAATTGATATTTAATAAATTTTGTAGGCAATTTTTCCTGATTTTTAGAAAATGATATAAATTAAATATATACAAAATTAAAAAATTTAAATTATAATTACTAAATTTGGAAAATTATTTATCATTTAGTAAATAATTGATGTTTTATAATAAAACTAAATTATTTTTCATGAAATTGATTTAATATTTTAAATAGAATAATAATATGAAGAAAATTAAAATAATTGTTCATTAATTATTGAAGAAAATTAATAAATAGAAATAAAAATAATAAATATCAGAACAAATTTAATTATTAATTTTATTAAATCAAAGTAATATTTTTAAATATATAAATAATTATATTTTAAATAAAGAATGTAAAATTTTTTGATTCTTTTTAATTTTTAATAAAAATTGTTTATTAATATATATACTTATAGTTATTTATAATTATATATTATATTATAGCTTATTTCCAGAAACAATAGAGTCTATATCAAAAGAAATTATTTAAGTTTATAATATAGAATTCTTTTATATTAATATTTAGTAAAATTAATATATATAATAAATATAAAATATAACTATATTTATTTAATAGGCAAACATAAATATATAATAGTGATATTAATAAACTTATATAAAACACATAGTATATAAATAACTTATTTTGCTTATAGCTTAAATTAATGTATATAAAAAATATATTTTAATTAAATATAAAATTATTTATTTATGTTTCTTTAAAAAACTCAATATCGAAAAAAATAAATGAATAAAAAAATGGATATTGCATTTTTTTTTATTGAGTTTTTTAAAAATATAACATAAAAAATAAAAATAAAAATTATGAAAAAATAATATTATTTTAAAAAAAGAGATAATTAAAACGTTAATTTGTAATTCTAAGAATATTTAAATAATATTTAAAATATCTAAACATTGAAATAATTAGATTTATAATTTTTTCAAAATGAAATTTTAGATGATGAATCATCTTAACAGCTTTCTAATTTTATTTCTACTCTTAAAAATCTAAAGATAATAAATTTATATTTTAAGTAAAAATATTTTTAAATATAAGTTTTTAATATTTTTTTTAATAATATTAATTTAGAACATTATATAAAAGTAATTAGTTTGCTTTACTTTATATTATAAGAAGCTTATAAGATTTATAATAACTTTAATCATTATAAATTAATATAGAAAGCTAT